TTGCGTACGTCCATGCCCCCAGCCCTCACGCACTTCCACATTGTCTGCTGCTCTTGGTTGTGCTTTGGATGGGCTGTCTTCGTAAAGCTGATGTTGCTGGCACGATCTCTGTCGAGCAGTGTAGGCCGCACCTCTTCTGGGCAGTGACTCTCCGCTTTCGGCACGCGCTGTGCCACCTTGCGGCAGAGATCTTGAAGCGCTGCCCTCGCAAGGCTCCTCGGCAGCACTTTCTGCAGCTTCGGCTTCTCCGGCTCTTTCGGCTTCGCCGGCGATTCTGGGCGCAGCCTGTCAGCTGGTCATTGCGCAGATGACGGTGCGGCTTCGGAACGACTGCACCTGCTCGTCCTCCTTTTCCTTTTGCCGCAGCACTGCGAGTGAGGCTTTCTTCTTCAAGTCAACTCATTGTGCTGCTTCTTCCAGGCCTCTAACGCCTGCATTCATCGTTCTAGTTGCAAAACATGACGTCACTGCGCTTTCTGAACTTCTGGCACCGCGGGCCCTGCCTCCTCCGCACGTTGGAGCTCTTGCTCGCGTGCCGCGGTCAGGCTTGCCTCTGCCTTTTCTTTCCTGGCAGCTTTCTTGTCTTTCTTCCTGTTCGCGCAACCATATACATCAAGCAGCATCTAGATGTGTGCGCGAGCTCGCCTAACTGCTTCCTCCGCCTTTTTGTCCGCCTCCTTCTTATCGCGCAGTGCCTGCGCGTGTTGCATCGTACTATTATAGGAGGCACTCATCATAACTCTCCTGGCGCCTTCTCCGTGGGGTCGGCAGCTTTCTTGGTCAGTGCTTTGCCGGCCTGGGACGTGTAACGCACCCACTCACTCAATTCTTTGGCGCCCCTATTCGAGCCCGGCCTGCATGGCCATCACCATGTCCATGTGGAGGAGGCGGGACATGTCGTTGGTGGAAGGTTTGGGTGGGCGAGGCGAGGCCACCGACGACTAAGGGTAGAGGAGCCTCCTGCTCCGTGGGCAGGACCTGGACAAAACGAGGCATTCACGAGGCGTTCCTGTAGCAGTCTCCATGCCGTGCAGTACACTGGCCTCCATCAAAATGGCCTCCAGTAGCCGGACCAGCCTAGGCGTCAGCTCGCACAAGGCGTGTAGGGCCCTGCCACAGCGGCCCGCCACGTGGTTGCGGAGCTCCTGCCACGTGTTCCGTTTTAGTCAACAGAGGCAGAGTACTGCTCCCTCTTGTTGTGTGCAGCTTCCACGACTTCGTGGAAGGCCTGTGGAGCAGAGTGGCTTCTGAGCAGCTTCCTTCGACTGCTTCCGTGCCGCACCTTCTCCGGCGAGACGGGGGGCAGGGAGCGGCAGCACTGGCTGCAGAGGCAGCCCTCCACGTCCCCGCACTCTCCAAGTTTGCCGAGCTCCAGCTATGTTTCTGGCAGCTGCATGGCGAGAGCTGGGGAGCGGAGGTGAGGCGGACTGCTGCGTTGACTTGAGTTCGCGAGAGGCTACGCAAGCGAAGAACATGAACAGAGCTGGATTCCGCAAGCACCCACCCACTCGAGATGCCACGTAACCCGCACACGACCTCCGCTACTACTTATGATGGATCTCCACGATTTCATGTTTATCTCACATCAGTTAATATCAATGAAATCATCCGGATGCGGACTCCGATGGAGGTTTACACGTCACTGGCAAAATCTCACGTCGGTAACTGCTATTTCGTTTCGCTCTGCGGGCTGAGCTCCTGCTCATGCCTCACATTTCTAATCGTGAAAGGCATTCGATACAACAGCCTGTCCCCGATGTAGACACTCGATCCTACAAGCACATACTGACACACATCAGTGCCGGGTTGGTTGCCAAATTTATGGATCATCAAAAAAACGCATTGATATGATCCTTGTGAATTATCTCTATATTGCAAGCAACCACATCCTGGAAGGGAAAGCAAGCGTGCACCTGCGTGATCTTCTAAGTTTGAAGTGTTGTGGCCCCTCACCAGCTAGCCCGCCTCCTCCGACGTGTTCTGGAAGAAGCGGGGCCCCGGGCCTTGGGGTGCGGCCTACACTGCTCGACAGAGATCGTGCCAGCAACATCAGCTTTACGAAGACAGCCCATCCAAAGCACAACCAAGAGCAGCAGACAATGTGGAAGTGCGTGAGGGCTGGGGGCATGGACGTACGCAAGGGTCCATACTTCGCAAGGCGGGAGGTGGTCGGTTTCCTCAGGAAGGGCCAGGAAGGGTGAGGAGTTCACCGTCGTCGAGAAGAGGGCCTCGTCACGATACGATTTTGCTACGCATTGAAGGCAACAAGGGCTGGGTGTTTTCAGCATCCAGATCCGGCACCTTTCGCCAGCCCGTGATTGCTGAAACCCATGAGCAGGGCTGGACAAATTCGAAGGATACCTGGAAGGACTTTGCTTCCACATGTGCGTTGAAACCTATGGAAGACACCTGGGCGTGGAACAAGGAAGACTGGCAAGAATGGCAAGGGAAAGATGCGGGCCGAAAGACTTATGCGAGCGGCTGGGTTGCATTTTGGACACACACGAGCTTGCTAATGATGCGAATGTGTTGTTTACATCTGCTACCATATGTTTCAGTATTTCCAACACCCAGCGACCCNNATGGCTACTATGGAAAGTATGGAAGCAACCAAAGTCGGTGAGATGCATTTCGCCCGTCCTACTGAAGGTTGCATGTTGGCCAATGTTCCCGATGCAAATTGATTTCGGTGAAAAGTATTTGAACTGCGCTGCGTGTGCTGCGGACAAGGATGGCAGCAACGTCACAAATTTCAAGCGGAAAACGGTTGGACATGCAGCTGTGGCATGGTTCTGTTGTCGGCATCGTTGCGCTTAGAATTTGTTTTTATGTTGTGGCCGTTGTGATTGTTATCGTCTCATAATGTTCTCTAGGGACTCTGGATCCGTGCCATGCTTGGGATGCGATTGAGCTGACATAGCACCTTGAGGCGGCTCCAGCATGTACTTGCCCTCCATGAAGATCTTGCCCGATCGTGCCGAGCATGCAGTGCCTTGGTGGCAGTTTCCTCATTTCCCATCGTAAACAGTGACAGCCTCGACCCGAAACTGATGAGTCTGAGGAGCGTGTGGCCTTGGCCTCGGTGCTCAACCGCCTTGGCGACGCCAAGAAGATTCGGGGAGCCGGGCGCTGAGGCGGCAGTCGCAGATCAGCTTGTGCACGGAATGAACGTGTCATGTTGGGCCGCGGAAGGTCAGGTGTGTTGAAGCGTTGGCAGACCTGCTCCGACGGGGTCATTGCCTTTCCTTTGAAGCTCAGGTCATACGGCTCTACACATCGGCTGCCCTTTGCATCTCATGCCTGGCGGCTTTCTGTGGCTGGGCATAGTCATCGTAGACTCTGTAGACATGAGATTTCGGCATGTACTGGCTTGGCAATGTCAAAGGCCACTGCAAACGACTCCTCACGTCGCTGTTTTTCGAGGACGGTCGTCTGAGCATTTCTGTGGTATTCCGCGGTGCACACATCTGCTGACTGAATGCCCTTGTGCAGATCAGCTGTGACTCCGCCGATGAGTCGCAACGCTGGTCGGACACAGCGGCGGGTGGAGAAGAATCGCTGGACAAAGTTTCAGATCAGTGGCTTCGCCAGTGCTTTTGTCTCATAAATGCACGTGATCTCCCACATTGCTCCGGCAGGTGCATATGCAACAACATCTGTAGCTTTACCGGTTCAAACGCGTTAGGGCTTTACCTGTCAAGGCAAGCAGAAGTACGAGAAGACAGGAAATGTCTTTTTTGCAAATCCGAGAGGCAAGTCGAAGTTAGTATAGCCTTCGTTGCGCGATTCCGACCATTGGCGCCATGACCACCATGGCCCCTGGTCCAGTGGTTCGAACATGAAAACATCGAAAGCAGACACAGGCAGGAAGGCAGGGAGGCAAGGCTTAGACCGAGGTCGCTTTGGAGTCTGCTTGTGGTGGCGGCTGCGTTGGCGCTGCTCTCGCTTTCGCCCTGCTCTCGTGCTCTTTCTTTCCGATGTGCTTGCCAGTGCTGCTTTCGTCGGCTCGTTGCGCTCGGCGGCTGAGGCCTGTTTCGCCTGGAAGACCCGGCGGAGCAACGGGATGGCCGATCACTCGCCGCTCCTCGGATCCATGTAAGGCCCCAGTAGACCTCCCTTTTGGGGGTCTTGGGCTCTCCGTACTGCACAAGTAGTTGATTGGAGGGGATCTAAGGCCCTTGGCCTCGCCAGCCATGAAGTCGCCGGCTCGGATGCTCAAAGACTCAAAGCTGCCCCATGCTGCACCTCAGCGTTAGGGTCCCAGGTACATGACATCTCCCACCCGACACGTCCATCGAGAGTCGCAGCCGCTGCAGCCTCGGACACCTTAGCCGGGCCATGCCCGTCGCTCGAAATCGTGACTCCGAGGAGCTATAGCCCGACGAGCAAAGTGTCAGCCGAAGCCCATGGCTCAGTTTGAGACTGCTGACGGTGACGAGCGACTCTGCGAACGTGTCGTGTGAAGAGTGCGATTTCCACGGCTGCGTCCGAAGCCGCTAACAGATCCGAGGCGTCCCTGACAGCGACGGAGGCGGATTTGTCCAAGCTGCCGGGCATTGGACAGGCCCTCCCGATTGCTCGTCGTGCTAGGATGGCTTTCCGATCAGTGCCGGAGCTACCGTAAACCGGAAGTCGGCAGCATTCGGCGGCCGGTAAGGAAGATTGTATGTCAAACCCTGCAAGGGCATGGACAAGAGCGAGTTCTTGGACCTGCTCAGAAAGCCCGGCCCACGGCCTCGGAAGTGAAGCTGGCCCTGAGCTGCTCCGCATTGCTCCGCAGGCTCATCGGAGAATCCAAGCATCTGCAGAACAACCCGCGTCTGGGCATCCATCCGGAGGACGGTGCGTTGGGCAAAAAGTCAGAATTGACCTCGATTGTGACAGGAGAAGCGCGCAGCCGCCGTCGTCATCAAAGAGCTGGAGGCAACTGCGATGCAGCTGGAAAGGGGAAGTGAGCCCCGTCAAGTTGTCCGGTGGCGGCTCGAGGCAGTCTCCACCCGTGCTGGTGGTCCCCTGATCGTGGAGGCGGTTTGCAGTCTGCGGATGATTTGCAGCATTGGGCCTGAGCCAACAGTGAGGAGCTAGAGTACGTTCCTGGCAGATCCAACGTCAAGGTGCGTGCTGTGCCGAATTTTGGCGCTGGGATCTCTCATGTGGTAAACAATTTCAGTAGTGGCTTCCGGCTGTATTGGAGAAGTATGCTCGCACATTTGCCATTGCTAGGTGACCTACCCGGGCTCCGGCAAGGAAACAACTTCGTTCGTTCCCGGCCCGGCGACACCAAGCAGGAGACATGACGACCTTTGCGAGATGAGGTGGGCAGCCACTTCGACGTTGTCCCTGCAGATCCGGAGGCTTGGTCCAAGGACCTGTTGAGTCACTGATTCGCTGAGATCTCGGAAACGGCTTAGCATGGTTGGCACAGCTACATACAGGACCCCTTTCAGCTGACCGTAGAGGGAGACCTGCTCTATGGCAGAGGAACCACCGACTGCCTAGGCCAGGAGGTTAGCAGACTCCAGTGAATGTGATTGTGCGTGTTTGAGCATCTTCAAGAGTGCTGTTCATGCTCGCGCCATGAAGGCCACGTCGCGCTTCTGACCCTTTTCCTCCGCGAGCTTGGTCGCACAAAGCCAGCGTTGAAGCGCAGCCCTTTGCTCAGACGCCCGAATTCTCGGCAGTTCAAGCAGCTACCCTCAGGACTACGCGTCCTGTAGACTCTACTTACACTTGGGAGTACGGTGAAGTTTGGACATGGAGTAAGACTGAGTAAGACAACATGGAGCTGAACATCTTGCAGGCATCGTGGTGGTCTTCATTGCTGCTGAAGAGGGCGGCGAAAAGAATATTGGAGTGGATGCAGTGCTGAAGAACGGCAAGTTGGAGGAGGCTTTGCGGCCGAGTTGTGTACCTAAACAGGGGCACCATGCTTTCAGCAGTGCCTCAACGATCATCAAGTGCATTTTTCACTGAAGCAGGCCAAGAATGGCCCGGTATACTGGGTCGCGGCCTCAGCTCGAAGGAAGGTGCCCGGGGCAGAAAGTAAGGCAGTTGTTCCGTAGCCGTCACACAGTTCTGGCGCTTGAACTTGGCAGGTCGACTGCGCAGATTCCAACCCTTGCTGCGGCACCGCGGGAGCTTTGTCCTGGTGCGGGAAACCCATGTTTGTGTAGAGATGTTGCACAGAGAGGCAGAGCAGGGGTTTTCAAGTTCCTGCAACGAAACTCCCCAAGGCTGGGTTGCGGAGTAGGTACGCGTGAAAAGTTGGAGGTGCCGCACCTATTTGGATTCTCCCAGAACCTGGGCTTACTCGTGGTGTACGAGAGCCCCAGAGCTTTGACTTTCCAAGACCTCGAGCTCCAATTGAAGTGTACTTCAGGGTTAGTTTACTCCCAAGCTGCGCAGGTCGCTGAAGTGTCGAGGGCGCTTGTTCCACAGCGGCATCTCGGCGAATGTAGCACAGTCGACAGAAGTCGCGTGGGACAAAGCTGCATGTGGCTGCGACAGTTTTCACAAGCCGAGGCTTCCCAAACAAGGCCATTAATTCCATTGAGCTTGCCAATGAGGATCGGAGCCGCTTCTTGCCCTTGCTTGTAAGTGGGTGGATGAGGTTGAGTGTGAGCTAAGAATTCGGATGACACCTGAAGGGCCTCATACAGAAAAATGCATGGCATCCTTTGCTCATCCTTGCTGTCAGGCCATCGCGTTCATCCAAGAACGTTTCTACAATGACTTCAAGCCACTTCCCGAGGAGGAGCTTTACTCCTTTATTACGGGGCTGGGGACTCAGCCAGAAAGGCAAGCAGGGCCAGGGGGTTGCGGTCCGGCAGCCAGGTCTCACATGAAGCCGACTCAGATCGAGTGCAGCAAGGGCTCCTTCAACCAAATCCCCGCAGAGACCACTGTCCACGGCGATATCAGGCTCGGCGTCATCTGACTGTTCGACGCGCGCCGAATGTCGATCTCCAGGTTGTCTCCCTTCTACGAGGTCGAGGACGTTGTTGAACACATCGAGCGTTACGTCCAGGATGCGAGCCGCTCGCGTCGGCGCGGCGCCGAGCCGTCGTTCCGTCTTTCAAGATGTGCTCTGCACGGCAGGAGCTGAACGACGACATGGAGTGCTTGTTTAGTTCGGCTCGAGGCAAGGCTGGAGACTGCAGGGTACTGTAGGGAGATGGCTCCGAAGGCTAGACTTCAGGGATTTACATCAAGGGCTGAGGGTTCGGTGAGCGAGCACAGGTCCCTGGAGCAAGTTTGTTCTCCCAAGCGGGGTGCAGGCCGGACATGAGCAGTAAACTTGCAAAGAGGTCCTCGCGGTGCCATCTCAGTATCTTGTGGTATCTTGCTGCGGCAGGTCCAGGACGGCGAAGTCAACCGGGCGAAGGCAGACGAGGGGGAGATGTCAGACTCTGAATCGGAATCTAGGAGTCCAATTTCTGCAGAATGAATCGGTCTTACCCGCTAGGCGTCCGAGCTGTGACCGTGTAGTATAGTTGTTCTGTCAGAGCTATGCTCCTGGTGAGGTGGAACTGAAGTGGATGGGCGACATGGCCGCATTTCGGCTTTATGCCGGCTTAGCGGTAAAGCTGGAGTCGGATGGTCACAAGGCTGAGCAATGGCAGAGTCTGGTGTCTTGCCCCTTCTTTGGTTGGGAAGTCATGGGCTCACATAATTCGATGGAGGCTCTGGTGCAGGCCTTCCGCGAAAGCAACAAAGGCAGGGCCCACGTGGTAAAGCGTTAAATTCAAATTGCAGCTGTGGCTTCACTTAGGTGCAACTAAATCTGCTTAGAAGCTCTCTCCAAGTTTTTGCTTGCATAGCGCCCTATGCGCGATCGACCACAGCCACTACTCGTACTGTACCACCTTCTAAGCAATCCGACTTGCAGACTTCAGGGTCTCATGCGTACTGGGAGAGAAGGCGTCCAGCCCTTCAGCATCAATGGCTCGCTGCCGCCCGGGACCCGGTAGTCTCCGAAGTTAGTGAGGTGTAGACGTTGATGGCCACGATCGCGTTTCCTGCAGGCTTGTGAAGATGATGCAGAAGGCTGGCAGTTTCGAGGGCCCTATCGGGTTGTTTGATGCGTTTATCGGCTTCAGGCTGGCTTCGACATACAGATGTGTGGCTTTGGGAAGATGTCCGTCTACCATGGCGTCAACGAGTGCCCATCGGGTCGTTCGCTTTGAGATGCCTTATTGGATCAGCAAGCGGCCATGAGTCGGGGGACGTCACGTTCAAAGCAGTCCCGAGCAGACATCCGAAGCTGTCACATGCAAGACCACGAAGACACCTGAGGCCAAGCTGCAACAGAGGCATGTGGCAATCTCCTATCCGAGCAATCCCGACAGAGGGTGAGGAGTGCACCGATGAAGGAGCGCGATGTGTTGGAATACACTACAGTACCGGATGTCATTCTTCGATAGAGCACGCAAGAATGCCCCACTCACATCTTATCGCAAAAAGCTGTCCTATGTATGTGTGTGTGTGCGCGCACAGATGTAGACCATGCTCGTTCCAAGAAGCCCGAGGCCTTTCTCCCGTTTCTGTGGTTATGTGATTCGTATGTTGGGTGGCTTCTGCAACAGAGCCGGCTGTCAAAAGGCCTTTTGCCAAGAGGGCCTTGTACGGGCAGTGCGGGACCAACTGCAGCAAAGCGGTGGTCTTGCGCATCGGTCGCCGTCGCTGTCGTTAACAGGTCTTCACGAATGCGCCTGCCACCTAGATCCTCCGGCTCGAAAGTCCAGTGGGCTACCTGTCTGTCTCGCAAGCCGGAGGGCTTCGCCAGCATTTCGCTGCACTTGGGCATACTTGGGCTACGGGCTCGTAAGCCTTTGCCCGGCCTTTCTTTGCGCACAGGCAGGAAACTCCTTGCTCATGTGCGTACCTCCTCGGACCTGGCAGCATCAATTCGCCCAGCTAGCTTTTGACATGTTGTGCGGGTACGGAAGCAGCCCCTCTTGAGCGCTGCCTCCGTGGCTGGATGTTCGTGTGCGTAGCTTGGGCACTACATCGGATACTGTGCAGCGATGTGCAGCGCTTGATCAAGGCTCCTGACGGCTGCATTCCAGGATGGCTCGCTGACAGATGAGTGGCGTCTGTTGTCAGCAACTGTGCGTGGCATTTTGACCTTTCGTTTGGTTGCTCAGGGGTGGGCCTTGCAAGAATAAGTGATTTTGGGTTTGGATTTTAGATACGGGGTGGCATTTTGACCTTGGGCATGGGGCTGCCAACCTGTACTATCACTGTCGCATGATTCCTGTTCGGTACCGGAATCTCTGGAAATTGAGCGTGCCCATGTTGATTCGGTGTGGGTGCTTTGCGTGTGCAACCAGTATAACACTACGACACTATGATTTTTGTGTCACGTCTGGCAGCGAAACTGCTCGTGGCCTTTGATTTTGGGTATGAGATGCTGAACAGCACGCAGTTGTCCTTCAGCGCTGCAGCCGCTTGTGCAACACGGCTTTCGCCTCGGTGGTGCTAGCAGCCGCGTGTGGCAATTTCTGCCAAGCTTTGCAGTCTTGCAAGCACTTTTGACACACGACTGAGGCCTGAAAGGTGCTGGCCGGCGTGCGTGGTGTTGTAATTTTGAGTGGGGGTTGTTGCCTGGGGGACTCTAATGGGGGTATTTTGGCGAGTCCCGTCAACTCGGTGTACTACCGGTGTGACTCATGACCCTATGGTTTCTGTTTCAGGCAATGTTGATTTTGGATTCGGGTTGGTGATTGTAGAACTACTAGCTCTTCGATGGTGCTACCATATGTTCGCTGCATTTTCATTGTCACCTTGCAAAAACTTGTTCCGCAAGGAGGTGTCCTATTGGTGCTGGTAACCGGGCGTGGCAGTTTGACTTTGGGTTGGGGTTGCTTCGTGGTGCCTGGCAACAAGTCTTTCCGCACTTGTATCACAAGTGCTTGTCCTGAATGATGCTACTAGTGGCAGCATTGCGTGACATTTTGGTTTTTGGGTTTGGGTTGCTTAGTGGTGGGCATTCCAAAAGTCTTGCGAACAGTGGTCCCTGTCCAGAATGGTGCCGGCAAGCGTGTGCGGCATTTTGAAGTTGGCTTTGAGTTGATAGTGGTGGGCCTTGCAACAAGGCTTACAAACACTTGTACCTCAAGACTCTGTCCTGGCATTTCGGTTGGGTTTGGGCCGCTCCCTGAGGGGCCTGCGAAACGTCTTGCAAACACTTGTAAGCGTGCGTGGCGTTTTGATTGTTGGGTTTCTCACTCGGCCGTTTGGTGGTAGCAGCTGGTAGCACCCACCGCCCAAACCAGTGGAGGATATTAGATTGCCTAATTTTAGTTGCGATAGCTGCTTGCTTAAAACTTCATATGATAGCTCATGGGGCTGTGTTCTGGCACAAATTTGCTCGCCACTACACCTGCCCTCGAAGTGTCCGGCTTGCTCGCTGTTCGACTCGTGGCCATGTGTCAGCATTGTGCCGGGGCTCTGTCCTTGCCATGTGTATAGAATGAGCAACTTGCTGAGTGGACGCAAACTTATCACTGCCGCGAGGTATTGTACGTTTTCGGAGATGACCAAGGCGCACGAGGTTATCGTTCGCCTGATCTGTCTCCTGGACTGGGGATCAGGTATTTAATGGCTGTGTCACATCATGTCGCATCCACGGTGGTGTCATGTTGGGCTAGCAGCATTATAGCACGAGGCAAAGCCATGTCACAGCGGCATCACAGCAGCACCTTGATGCGGATCTTATTCTAGATAGAGGCATTGCAAACCAAGCAAGCGCCAAGATATCCTGTAAACGACATCCAAAGTTGAGACACCAGCCTTCCAGGCTCCGCTTCCAGAGAGACCGCTGCACCAAGTGGAAGATTCACAGCACGAACTTTGGTGACCGAACCTAGACCGGCTGTGTGCCAAGTGCTATCGCAATGACCACACAACGATTATCCTGACAGATATTGGTGATTCGTGGTGCTTGCAATAGTCATGACCACTGCTCATGCCGTCGTAGTAGGATGCTAGCGATGTAAGTGGTTTCAGAATTGGTAACCATCACAGCGTTGGCAAAATTTTCAACCTGAAAGCAATGTATTTGACGATCCTGGACTGGAAGACAGCAGCTATAAGTAATCGATCACCATTCAGGTGGCTGCTCGTAGTACCACGAAGCTTATGAAGGGCTGTTGGAGCACTTGACAAAGCATGTGGTGCAAGAACGTGGTTGGATCGCAACTCAGCAGACATGCACTGCACATGATGCATCGCATCACGCAGGAGATGGCTGCAAAGTGAGCCATAGTGAGCCCGTTCCCGGACCGTTGTGAGTTACACTTTAGGCTCGCCTTTCCGGAGTTCCACGACGATGGTGTGAGACTGCCAGCACTCGGCCTTCAATGATGCACGTGAGTTCAACAACGAAGCCGTTTTGTTCTTCGAAGTTGCCACACCTGTTCTATCATGGAGCCCCGGGAGCCCCGAAGTTCTCTGTGTGACCTTCCGAGGTTCACGAGCAAATGGCCGTGGGTCATATAAAAAGTCATGTCATGACAGGCGGTGCGGTTGATGTCCGGCAACATGACATAGTCCTTTCCATTGCAAGGCTGTGCCTACCTCCGCGACAGGGCCCAAGATGTCCTGATACCATGCTAACTGATCTGCAACAGAGCAGCGCACCAGACCTTAACCTTTCCTGTTCATGTAGTCGTGAGCTAGTAGCACACGTGCAGACCCTCAGACAAAAAACTATCTTGGTTCGGATGCTTGCAGCCCGGATGGCCTTACTCACCGATGGCTGCTACTGTATTTCTTCAGGGGAGGAGGGAGTCTTACCGTCCTATGATGCCCATGAAGACCTCTTGCTTTTCTCGAATCGGAATATGCCCGCGAATTCTGGCCGTGTCCAGACGCCATGGAGGGATGACCGACGCCTGTGATCGAGCGCCTTGATGGATGGTTCGCCACTGCAGCCACGACCTCACAGGGCTTTTCCAGGCATGCCATGTCCAATTGATTCGCCCTTTCGCTCGTCCAAGGCACTTTTCCAACACATCGCAAGCATCTCCTGCATCGTCACCAACAAAGAGCTCAGGCTGGAGGAAACAGTTTCAGCATCCCACAAGCAGCATGCTGGTAGTCCGAAAGCATACGACGATGGACTCGGTCCTTTTTTCTGGAAGACCGTCTCTTTCTCTCTCGCTGGCTCTTTCCCCACCTTCGTTGTGTTCCTGAAGCAGGTGGTTTTCGCGCAACGACACAGTCGGCACCATCTAAGCTGATGGATGGACAGCTTACTCTGTTGAGGACCCCCCATGGCCAGGAGGGCGTAGCCGAGCTTTTTGCATTGCACATGTGTTCATATTGTAATGCGCCCACCTTTTTCGTCGAGCTGTGCTTCGGACTGATGCTGATGACTGCCATGCTGCGATTATGGACCATGGTAGCAGACTCATTTGGGGAAAAGCACGGAGATAAACGACCGTGAAGACGGCAACCGCAACCACGGCCACACCGGCACGAGCACCAGCATCGTGGCCAGAAGGGCGTAGCTGCTTCACTCACTGCCACCGCCACCTCGAAACGACTGCTGCAGGAACGCTGGTGTTGCTAGCACCACCACTGCGGCAAATATCAACCACGCGATGACGAAAACTACCAATACTGCGAGTACTGCAGTACCCGTAGTCGTCATATTCCGTGGCTGCATTCTTACAGGTTCGGCTAGCCACAGCCATGCGCACAGAGTATACCAAGAAGGTGTTGATGAAGGCAATGACCCAACGGTCGTGGTGATGGTGACGAAGGTGATCATGGGAATGGTGCCGGTGCTGTTTTGATGCTGCTCGTGGTCATAGCAGCTGTGACATACACGTTTTTGTTTAGACAATGCTGATGCTCCTTTGGACGATCATAGTGGCAGCTAGGGCTAATGATGAGGGCATACGGATGTCGACGAGGATGGTGTGGCTGTTGATGATGGTGATGCGGCAGCCCATCGAATCGATGTCAGCAATAGAGCAAACCTTCAGCACGCCTCTGCTCCTGTTGGTTGATTGAGCATACAGCAAGATGGGTCCAGGGATAAGTCTCCAGAGTAGCAGCGGGGGGGGCTGCCAGGAAAACTCTTCGTGAAAGACGAGGGTCCAATCGCCCAGCGGCGCTGAGTCCGCTTCCACCATCGCCGTGACTAGCCGCACCATTGTTCGGGATCTAGAATATAAGCCTGCAGCATCCTGCATGCAGCGCTGGAGGTGTTACTCAAGGTGCCTGGTAGGTCTTGGCCCGCAGTAAAAGACTGGGTGTGTGACGTGTAGCCAGGGGATGAGGTTGAGACATAGCAGAAGCAAAACAGTTCAACCCCATTGCCCTTGGTCAAGCGGAACAAAATGGCAAAGCATGAGGCCCTCAGACAACAACGCGCATGGGGTGTTTCAGCATAGTCCCTAACCTGGTTGATGCTTGCATTGCAAGCTCGCCCAGCCTTCTGACAAGGCCTCGATCGCCACACTCGTTGAACCGCGGCACGTCCTGCCCTCCCCAAGGGTCAGAAGCTCAGTGGTGTCGATTCTTTGCATTCGAGTCTGTTCTGAGATGCTCCGAGGTCCCTGGCGCGCCGCATGGGGTCCCCGGCGGATGCCTCTCCCTTCCAGTCGGCCAGCGCTAGGCAGGGCAAAGCGGAATACAGCTGCAGAGCGCATGAGCTGCATCGGTTGCGCGTCGCTGTTGAAGCGAAGCTGATGCTATTGTCTCTGCTTCAATCGAAGAAATGCCGGTAGGACCGACGTTCGCAGCACGGCTTGGCAAGCACGTGGAGAAGGCTCCGCGGAGGGTTTTGCTAGAAGGGGTTGTGAGAGATCCAGAGGACCGTCAAGGCATGAAGTAGTCACTTGATTGCTTGTCTCGCCTTGTGATGGAGAGTTGAACGCTCGTCCGAGAGCCAGGATCTGCTCTCACTGACTTGTAGTATGAGGCAGTTCTTGAGCTGGCAGTCAGAGGCATGTTTTGCCTTCAGGCGGCGAGTCGACTCCCAAAGCACAAGAAATTCGCTCGCCGGTTCCGAAGCGAAGGCTGCAAATGCTGCAAGCTCTCCTGGTGCAGTCGGATGTCCATGCAGCTGTGTCCTGAAGGTGCATGGAAGGCTCCAAAGCTGCGCCTGAATCTCATGCCGGAATCGGTTCCAGGTGCTTGCTGGCCTTGGGACATGCGTCTCGTCATGTCTCGTCTGCTTTCTGTAGCCCCAGACCTTCTCAGGTCTGCAAGCCCGCGCAACATGCGTCTGGGGCGTGGAAGTGGCGGAGGGAGTGCAGGAGGCGCAGGAGGCAGCTGAGAATAAACTTCTCACAGTGGAGACGTGTCATGGTATGAGGCATGCTGCAGTCAACCATACAGGATCGCCGCTCTTTCTTTGTTGATTCAACAAAGGAAGACAAGAAAGCACCGATTGCTCATATGACTGTAGCGAAGTCGTGTACGATGGGTACAGGTGGCGAGCCAATACAGTACGCAAGTAATCCCGCCTCCGTGCCCCCAGCAGCGCGAGAACATAGTGCAAGATCCGAACTTCATGTCTTAGCTCGCCGTAGTTGCCTCGGAAAGCCAGATACCATCGATAAAGCAACATGGTCTTCGACTTCGACCATCATGGATGTGGCAGTACACTTTACTGAAGGGACCACCTGCACCCTCAATTGTCATATCCGCTCAAAGGAAGGGGCAGCTGCATCGCTTGGCCATGTGGGGCACAGATACGGTCAAGAATCTCTTGCCCTCGAAAACTACTGTGTTTGTGTTTTGGGTGCCTGTCAAGCTGAGCCTTTGCTGCGCCAGGTGCGCTGCAGCCGCGGAACGAACTGCCGAAGCAGCAAGCTTACTGGGAGTCACAAGACTGTTCCAGGGTTAATTGATGCACCCACATTGTCTTGAAGACTTCGGCTTCAGGTATGTGGCGGTCGCTGGCAAGAGAGTCCCAGCGCCCTTGCTGCTGCGTATTGCCGGACTGTTGCCTGTTGCATCTCTGCCGGCCTTGAGGAGGACTTGGCACTGACCCAAAGTGGGAGAATCCAGTTCCGTGGTATACGCTGACACCAGCTGTTCTTACATCTTGCTATGACCCCGCTCTCTATCCTCGAAGCACCAGGCTCCGAAGTGCCAGTGTCCTCCTTGCCTTTGGGTAAACGCCCGAACCCCCAGAGCATAGCCAAGCTCATGGAAGGTTTCAGGCTCTCCTTTGACTGTGCCGACTGCACGGGCTCCAGGACCTCGGCTGGCTTCTATCGTGCCATCCATGCGAGGCTTTCAGAGGACTGGGACCTGCACGTAGCTATCCAAATCCGAATGCTGGAGAAGGTCCAATGTCTAGCTGGCTTGTGTCCAGGACCCTGCGCAAGTCACGGCGCTGGCTGCCCACTTGGAAACCAAGCGTAGAGGCCTCAGCAGGCCGTGGAAGATTGAGACAATCAACGGCAGCCTCATTGCAAAAACCACCATTAAACACTTCATGGCGGTGCTTGCCTGTTGTTCCGAGGCCTGAAGAGCAAGCGTGTCTGGGTTTTGGTGAGAGCCCGTCCAATCTCAGACGGTATCAGCTGCATTGTGATCGAAGCTCGGCATGACAAGTCAGTTGCAATTGTCACTGCACTGAACTGCTGCTCTTACTTCTCCGGCGCACAGAAGCAAAGCAGCGCAATACAAGTGTGCAAAAAGTGTCCTCAGCATCTACTTATGCAAGCAC